AATAATTTTTATTTTTAAAGTTTGTCCGGACTACATCTCTTATACCACTAATGCAATTTCAATGAAACTTTACAGGATTGATCTGTAGTTCAAGTCCTTGCGCATATTGCACGGGTTTTCCAGTTGAATGATTTTTGGCCGAGTTATGGCCCTTTGATAAAAAGGTGGGTTTTTTTCTGTGTGTTGCCAGATACACAAAACTTGTCCGGACTACTCCTCATAAACTACAGATGCAATTTCATCCAAACTTTACAGGAATGATCAGTACCAAGTCTAGTTGTGCATATTGTCAGTATTTTCCGGTTCAATGATTTTTGTCAGAGTTATGGCCCTTTAATAATTTTTAATTTTAAAGTTTGTCCGGACTACTTCTCTTATACCACTAATGCAATTTCAATGAAACTTTACAGGATTGATCTGTAGCTGAAGTCCTGGCGCATATTGCACGGGTTTTCCGGTTGAATGATTTTTGGCCGAGTTATGGCCCTTTGATAAAAAGGTGTTTTTTTTCTGTGTGTTGTCAGATACACAAAAGCTTGTCCGGACTACTCCTCATAAACTACTGGTGCAATTTTATCCAAACTTTAGAGGAATGATCAGTACCAAGTCTAGTTGTGCACTGTCCGTCTGTCTGTCAGTCTGTCACAAAACTTGTCCCAACATAAAATTGGCCATCATGAGGCGACACATGTGATTACTGATCGCTCTTGTTAATTCTTAGACATTTAAATTAATTATTTGAGAATTTAAAACTTTAATTAACAGTAATTTCTCTTCTGTGCCTTTAACTGGTTGATATATATTTATTATGATGTGATTTTGTAATAGGTATGAAGGGTATGAATGTATGTATAATGATTTTATTCTCCTCTTCTTTGATAATTACAGCTAAAACAATATTTCTGATCATGTTTCTATTTATCAGATTATGTTTATATAGGATTGTTTTTAACTGTGACTGTCAGACATTATTGTTTTCCAAAAGTGTAATGTAGTCTTGAGAAAAACACTAAATTAAAGTGCCTAAAATTTTCAGAAAAAGGCGTATTCATTGAAAGCATGCAATTGTACTTATACAACATTTTGGAAACCTGAGATAAAACAAGCTTCTTAGTGAAATAAGTCTTATTCTTTTCTTTAAATTATAAATGGTAGATCTTAATATGGAATATTTTTATAAAAAACATGTGTGCAATATTATTTCAATATTATAGTTCAACATTTTGCTCCACTTTGAATTGAATCAAATGTTCCATAACAGAAGCATGTGCATACTGCATATTGTGTAAGCACTTGACTGGTATCCTTAATTTTCTTTGCCAAAATATGCAGAAAAATTGTTGTAATGAGTGTTGTTCTTGGATAAAAACAGTAACTTAAAAGTTACAGGATAAAAACAGTAACTAATAATAAGATATGAAACATTTAGACATTTAGTATGAACTGTTGCTTTATTTTTACCATCATTCAACAAAGTTGATGTTTACTTGTAGAGTCTCAGCGAACATAGTTGTGTCAACTTCGTATGTTTGATTTGGGTACTGTTAGGATGAACAATTGTGACTAACCATTCTGTAAATCTTTCTACAGGAAATCAATCAATTTTAACAAACAAATTATTGACATGTAGATATTATATTATAAAGTGATATCACCAGTTTCTGTTTCTTTCCTCGCACCTAACTTCTAGCTCTCTTTTCAGCAGTTATCAAGGTCTATACTTTATTGGAATTCTTACTGGATTACTGCCATTAAACTCATAGACTTTTAACATGACATTATTTTGTTGACCCTGTTTTGATGTTTTTAGGATTCATTATTGGGAGAATAAACTGTAGTGATGTCCTGATGATTGAGTATATTCAAATAATTAGGGCTGATTCATTGATGTTTAGGACAATTGATTACACTCTGAGACAATCATTTGTTGCCATGGAACATTCACTTCTTTAGGGCAGTTTTCTTTCTGGTAATTAATTTTCTTTGTGGCATTTCTTAACAGTTAAAGAGCAGATGATACATCTGCTGATAATGAAATATCCTTATCTTGGCAAAACCAAGTCATCTGCTGGAGAAATTACTTGAAATATTAAAAGCAAAAATTACAAGCAGCGAATATAGATCTATTATTTTTGCATTTTTGTGCTTTTGAAAGGCTAAGAATATATGAAATTTTATAAATCCGATCTAGTAAAGAAGTTATTTTATTAATTTGGTATAGTAAAGAAATTGAAAGGAAAATTAAAGCGTATGTAAAGAATTTAATAGGTGTGTGGGGAAAGGTAAACAGTGTAATTTGCATACCTTGTATTTCATTTGTTTATAAATAGGCTGAAATTTTGATCAACTTACAATTTAATACCAACCTGTGCCTTTTTCAGAAGAAGTTTAAGTTCAAAGTGTTGAATTTGTTTTGCTTAATATTGTTAAATGATCTGGGTCTGTCTTCAGTATTACATTTGGTTTATATCTACATCTAGTTTAAAATAAACCTCTACATACCACAAATTTGTTGTTGAGTTGTTAAAATAAGTGTAGATGCAGTCATTATAGGAAATGAAGTAACCTTCATAAAACATAAAGATACATTCATACTTTTATATGAAAGCAAACCAAATAGAGATATATTATCATAGCCTGTATGTAGTTGTAGCAGTAGCATGTTGAATATAATTTTTATGCCCCCATTTCGAAGAAAAGGGGGTATATTGCTTTGCACTTGTCGGTCCGTCGGTCCGTAGACCAAATGGTTTCCGAGTGATAACTAAAGAACCCTTAGGCCTAGGAACTTCAAACTTGGTATGGTGATTGGTCATGACAAGTAGATGACCCCTATTGATTTTGGGGTCAAGGGGTCAAAGGTCAAGGTCACATTGACCTTGTAAGTAAAAACGGTTTCCGATCAATAACTAAAGAACCTTAAGGCCTAGGAACTTCAAACTTGGTATGGTGATTGGTCATGATCAGTAGATGACCCCTATTGATTTTGGGGTCAAGGGGTCAAAGGTCAAGGTCACATTGACCTTGTAAGCAAAAACAATTTCCGATCAATAAGTAAAGAACCTTAAGGCCTAGGAACTTCAAACTTGGTATGGTGATTGGTCATGATCAGTAGATGACCCCTATTGATTTTGGGGTCAAGGGGTCAAAGGTCAAGGTCACATTGACCTCTTGGGTAAAAACGGTTTCCGATCAATAACAAAAGCACCCTTAGGCCTAGGAACTTCAAACTTGGTATGGTGATTGGTTATGACCAGCAGATGACCCCTATTGATTTTGGGGTTAAGGGGTCAAAGGTCAAGGTCACATTGACCTTGTAGGTAAAAACTGTTTCCGATCAATAACGAAAGAACCCTTAGGCCTAGGGACTTCAAACTTGATATGGTGATTGGTCATGATCAGTAGATGACCCCTATTGATTTTGGGGTCAAGGGGTCAAAGGTCAAGGTCACATTGACCTCTTAGGTAAAAACAGTTTCCGATCAATAACTAAAGAACCCTTAGGCCTAGGAACTTCAAACTTGGTATGGTGATTGGTCATGATCAGTAGATGACCCCTATTGATTTTGGGGTCAAGGGGTCAAAGGTCAAGGTCACATTGACCTCTTAGGTAAAAACAGTTTCCGATCAATAACTAAAAAACCCTTAGGCCTAGGAACTTCAAACTTGGTATGGTGATTGGTCATGACCAGCAGATGACACCTATTGATTTTGGGGTTAAGGGGTCAAAGGGCAAGGTCACATTGACCTTGTAGGTAAAAATGCTTTCCGATCAATAACTTAAGAACCCTTAGGCCTAGGAACTTCAAACTTGGTATGGTGATTGGTCATGACCAGCAGATGACCTATTGTTTTTGGGGTCAAGGGGTCAAAGGTCATGTAACATTGACCTTGTAGGTAAAAACTGTTTCCGATCAATTAACTAAAAACGCTTAGGCCTAGGAACTTCACACTTTGTATGATGATTGGTGGTGACCAGCAGATGACCCCTATTGAGTTTTGGGTCAAGGGGTCAAAGGTCAAGGTCACATTGACCTTGTAAGTAAAAACGGTTTCTGATCAATAACTTAAGAACGCTTAGGCCTAGGAACTTCAAACTTTGTATGGTGATTTTTCATGACCAGCACATTACCCCTATTGATTTTGGGATCAAGGGGTCAAAGGTCAAGGTCACATTGACCTTGTAAGTAAAAACGGTTTCTGATCAATAACTAAAGAACGCTTCGGCCTAGGAACTTCAAACTTGGCATAGTGATTGGTCATGACCAGCAGATGACCCCTATTGATTTTGGGGTCAAAGGTCAAGGTCACATTGACCTTGTATGTTAAAACGGTTTCGGATCAATATTAAAAGAACCCTTAGGCCTAGGAACTTCAAACTTGGCATGGTGATTAGTCATGACCAGCAAATGACCCCTATTGATTTTGGGGTCAAGGGGTCAAAGGTCAAGGTCACATTGACCTTGTAGGTAAAAACGGTTTCTGATCAATTAACTAAAAACGCTTAGGCCTAGGAACTTCAAACTTTGTATGATGATTGGTCTTGACCAGCAGATGACCCTATTGAGTTTTGGGTCAAGGGGTCAAAGGTCAAGGTCATGACCAGTAGATACTTGATAACCCTTATTAATTGTTTGATCACTGGGTCAAAAGTCATGCATAATTACCTTATCACATGAATAATTGGCTGCTGATAGGGGGCATACATGTTTTACAAACATATCTTGTTTTATTGTTTTCTGATTTGTGATTGATTGTCATTGTAAAGTTCTATCCAATAATTAGTTATGAAATTCTGTCTGCTTATCCTACTAAATGGTGTTTAATGTAAACACTTGAACAAAAAAAACAAGAAACCACCAGCCAGTTTAACACAAACCAACATGGTCATGAACAGAGATGTCTGTAATTTCTGTATGGTTGTGTATGGGTGATTTCAATTTCTGTAGGCAAGTTATTGTGTTCATACAAAGTTACAGTTATGTTGTTTTCTATTTCAGAGCAAACCTTGATCTGGCTGAGAAATGTCACAAATCTGAATGTAAGTCAATTATTGTAACTTTTTGATACCTTTGATTGATTGAGCAATTAGACAAATGCAATGGTTAAGAAGGATTATCAAAATCATTATGGTGGTGTCTTCATTTTGCATGACAGTTACCAGTTTTGCAGGTTTCTTACATTTTTAAAATGAGAAAAAGTAATATAAAAACTCAAAATTAACTTGTGTTTGTATTTATGGGAACACCAAGTTCTGTTCCATTAGAGGCTATTTGACCAGAAAACTGCAAGGGGAGATTTTGACCTGAAGCTTACCTTGACTTGAAGCTGAACTTTGATATAATATTAAAAGGTAGATATATGTTACTGTATCCTTCAAGAACCATTACTTTCTTTTGCATTATGTTATAAAGTGATAAAATCTCTTTCATTCAGCACATCTGTGCTTGACATATTGCATTTCCATTGCCTATTCAGTTCATGTACTTAATTACTAAACCTTCTGAAAGAAGCAAAAGTTACAAAGTCGGAGCAATGCAATTTGATGGGGAAAAAATCTTGTAAAAAAAATGTAATGTAAAACTATTTATCTTGCAGTGAATGAAGTTGAGCTTCGTGAAGCTTTTAATACGACAAACTACAAGCTTGAAGCAGACAGAGATAAACGCCAGCAACTTGAGGTAATTTATACAATAATCTTTATCAAAAAAACAGAAACAGCAAGTGGACCATCACATTAAACCAGTTATAATCTGAGTCACCCCAACACCACCACAATGGGATAAAGCAGACATGGTTTTAGATTACCTGATCCCATGTTAACACCCAACCCTAGGGGACAATTAGAATGGTGTAATCCCTGCTAAATTCCCTGGTACTGCCTGTTAAAGGACTTAAGCCTGGCCATATTGGCCTCGAAACAAAACCATTGATGGTACAGTGTGGTAACAAGTCATTTCCTTGCCCCCACCCACCCCCCCTCTCACCGCACTGGCTTGAGGATGATGAAACTTGAGTTACTGTTGACTTGATTCTCTATAACATAATAAATTGTAGATCACAGAAAAATGAGCGATTGGATTTATTACTGATTATTTATGTTTAAGAAGTTTACCTAATAAGACATGTTTGTTCAGAGGATTTACTATTACATTTGATTATTTCAGAGAATAGATAACTAAGATTTAAAGCTTGAAATATTGTTACAACAAAAAAAAAATTGTTCAACTTTTAAACATGACAGGGTAAACATTCTATTTGTAATCATCAGCAGATGCTTTAATATGGTGGGGATCATCTCCCTATTTGATCATGTCAGTGGGCAATTTTTTAACTTGCCCAAAAAGGACACTGTTTCTTGCAGCCATTTTTTGATATTGAATATGAGAGTGTAATTTTATACTTAAAATACATTATGTAAGTTTGTGTTAATGTTATTTATATAATTATGTACAATGTTACTTCCTTGTTATACAAAGAAAATATAACCTAGATGTATGACAGCATGATCTATTTTTTCCTCCAAATTTCATGCTTCCCCAGCAACTTCAGTATATTTTCCCTATATTTAGGATCACTTATCATTATATTATTTTTTTCCTCTTTCATAAGGTGACTTTCATAATGCCTTTTGGAAAGTTGTAATAGGTATAAGAGTAATAGCAAGTAATGAGGGAAAGAAGTTTTTTTTTGTCATTTATACAAAACATTAAGATTAAAAATTAGTACAGGCATGCAAAGGGTATTTATTGGAGGCATATGAATTTCTACCATGATTCAATGTAAGACCCATTTGCACTATTAATCTGAAATAGAAATTAAGGAAAATGAAAAAAAAATGTAAATGGGCTTTTAAATAGTATATAACAAGTTCAACATTGACTGGAGAGGTCAATAAATTCTAATTGCAAAAGATGAAAAGGATTTTTACTCTGATTTTATTGACTACGCCTTCCTAGATTAGATTGAAGAATATTGATGAATTTTATCTTGTCAACTTGGCCAAATATGTTTACATGTTTACCCTGGATATAAATTAAAAGTGAGGGTAAACAAAATAAAGGAGTTACTTTCATTTGTTATATATAAGCACAGTATCTTAAGGGCATAGTGAAAATGTTACTGAATTTGCTAACTACCTACTATAGGAAGTTTAAATTATAGTACACTAAATTACTGAGTCATAATTATTGGTTTGTAATTTAGTAGTATATTGTAATGTTATACTTACATACAGGATCTACTTCATTAATATTGCTTATTTTTGTTGATTTGTTGTGTGTAATAGCATTGATACAGTACATGCAGTTTTAAACTAGCATGTTATAGTGTATGTATATTGTAGGGTATAGGGGTAATTAGGAAATAAAGCAGTGTACAGGTGGGTCATTTCTTTGTACTGAGTACAAATTCAACATTTTGACAAATTCATTAACTTTTGATGCAGATGTAATACCCAGTGTATAAACTTTCTTTTAAGGTTAGGTATGAAAACAAAAATCACTGGATTGTAACTTAATTGGATTGGTGAAATTGGTTTCATTTAGGTTACAAGTTAAGTTGTTTTTATACAGGAGTAGAATGTATTTTATTAAGTGTTCATGGGTAGAGTTGAGTTCACAGTTTCTTTTAGATTAAAAGGTTGTGTAATTTTAATGCATTTTCCTAGCAAGACTGATAAGGATTGTTTGTTGTAGTCTTGGGAAGTGACCATTCTGTCACTGTTTATACTTAACAACATTGGAATCTTTTAAATCATTCCTGCAAATTGTTTAATCTGGTGAAGTTACAGTTGTGACACCAGAGTGAAGGAGATATTAATGTAACCACAGTGGTTGTAACAATCCATTAATTTGTAAAATACAATAATATTACAAGTTATTTCAAGTGTACATGGACTACTTGACAAAGTCAACAGTACAATGTATTCAGATTTCAACATTTTCCTTTCAAATATTTGAATTTAAGTATAAAGGAAAAATGATATGAGGATGTGCTCATTTGTGTGTGCATTTTCCATGCTACTAGGAAGTTAAGAGGTTTGTATTGCATGATATTTTATTTGACATTAACTTTTACTGTATGATGATAAAATTTACAAAAATATTGACACCTATCTAATGATAAAGAACAACAATAGTGTTTAAGAATATGTAAGGTGATGAAGTAATGTATAGTTGACATGTTATTTGTGAGTGTTATGATCGATATATTTCAATATAAAGAAATTGTACATATTATAAATTGTGGTAACTGTTTTACAGATTTTAACTAAATGATATCTTGATGTTGATAACTTTAATTGTATATAATTTTATTCAATAAGGTATGTGTATGTTGGCTGATTTGGTACACTTTGCACGTTGTGTTGTCGATAGCCACCACACAACCTTTATTGTTATTGCCTTTTTGTCTTGTAGCTAGCGAAACGCCGTGAACGACGCTTTGTAGTCATGTTGCTAATGAAGCACGCCAAACGGCGCCTTGTCCTGATGCGCGATGTTGCCCTGTCACTTGGCTTATATATATATATACAAATAGCTAATCCTTAGATTTAAGCCGAGCGACAATGCGACATCGCTACAACACGCTGTTTAATGTGCTTCGTTAGAGACAGGAAGACAAGATGACAGTGCCGTTTGGCGCTTTGTCGTGCTGTAACTAGCGACAACACAACACACAAAAGTGTACCAAATCGGTCACTATATATTTGTAATATACTTTTGATAGCTGTAACAAGATCTTTATATGTGATCTTTGATTGCCATATCCTCAAAGTTTAATGCAAATTTTTTATGTTTTCTGTGTACAGAGATATGAAGTGGCATTTTGAAAATGTTTATATTGATATACCCTCCTTCTACCTGCAATAAAAATGTAACAAGTGACTTAAATCATGCTCATAAATTTCAATCAAGCACAGATTGTCATGATATAAGTGTTTACAGATGTCATATCACTTTTTTGACCTCAAGCTACAATTGAACTTACCCAAGCAACAAAATTTGAAGAAAAAAAAAAAGAAGTATCTTGATCACCACACTGTTGTTGTTGTCTCTATTAATTTATTGTTATCTGTGTTGTTTATGTATATCTATAGGAAAGTCTCGAGTCTAACAGAGCTGCCAGAGAGGTTGATCTGAAGGATTTATGGAGGCTTGTACACAACCCTGATGAGGAGGATTCTACCGAGGTAAATATGATAAATGATATTCTTAATAATATAGTTATAGAGTGCATTTGACAAAATCTGATAGTAGTCTTGCAACATAAGGGTTTATAATCACAATAGTCTATTCTTTTGGTAAATAGTGTTGAGCTGTAAAGTTGGAAGGCAAGTCTTCTCTTTTGTTAACTCCCTTCAGAGTGAACTATTAGTATCAAAGTGGGATGCTCCATGGTCATGCATCAGCATTCATCTTCTTCTCTGAAACTGCTGGGCAGATTAACATCAAATGTGGTCTGTAGCATCCTTGTGACAGTCACACTTATATTTGCTCATGTCATTTCAATTGGCCCCATTTAAGGATCAACAGAGCTAAAAATAGAAAAACCTTTAAACATCTTCTACTGAACTAATTGATGATCACCAAACTTTGTCTGTAGCATTCTATCAAATTTGCTCATATTAATTTGATTGGCCAGTTTTAGGGGCCACTTCAGTTAAAAATAGAAAAGCCTTTAAACATTATTTAAATTGAAATTATTTATATAAAATTATTTCTAACACGATTCAATGCAATCATGCCCTCTTGTTTTTATTTCTCCCCATTTTATGTAGCCCATGTTCAAGTCCCTGGTCTGTTCAAAGACCTTGCTGTGAAAAGTGGACAATTTTTTTACTTTTACTGAGGAAGATTTTAGAAAACCACTTATTTTTGCTAATTAACTGGTGTTCGGGAACAAACTAGTGTTTACCTTGAAAGAAATTGTCACTAATTTTAATGACTATAGTCAGCTGTAACTTAAAGAGATATGCTGAACATGCCATAATATGTTATGCAAAAAATGGGATAATGATACATATTTATGTTTCATTCAAATACAGTTTATGAAGAAGCACCAAATTAAGATTTCAAACACAACTGAATATAAGTCTTTTTGAAATGACGACAGTCACACATAGTAAGACTTGAAAATTCCTTAAAGTGCTAACTGAATGTGGCACTTGTAATATTTGTAAAATATTAAACATTGACTTTGTTGACTTCAAACCACTTGCCCCTCCATTCTGTGGGTTCGTATCCCAACAGGGACTTTAGATTCTTTCATGGGAGGAAGCTATCCTGCTAGCGTATGGAATGTTGGTTGTTTTACTCTGGTGTCCGTTCGTGTCTGAACGGAAGGGCACCTGAGGTATTCTTCCATCAGTTAAAAGCTTAAAGCGGGAACATCACCATATGACCTATACTGTGTCGGTGTGACACTAAACCCAAACAAACAAACAAGTAATAATTATATTATATGCCTGTTTGAAAAGCCGGTTGTATTAAAGTTTCCCCTGGACTTGCGTGCCCACAATTTTGTCCGGAGCATATCTCCTACATGCATTGAGGAATTTTAATGAAACTTCATAGAAATGTTAACCACTGTGAGAAGCTGTGTCATGCACATGAACCAGATCTCTAGGTGAAAGGTCAAGGTCACACTTGGAGGTCATTAAAAAAAAGCTTGTCCGGAGCAAAACTTCTACAAGCATAAAGGGATTTCAATATAACTCGGCACAAATGTTCACCATTGTAAGGCGGAGTGTTGCATGCAAATTCTAGGTCCCTGCTGCCAATGTCAAGGTCACATAGAGAGATCAAAGTTCAGATTAAAATATGAAAATGTGTATTTGGACCATTTAGTCATCACTTATTGAGGGATTGAAACACAAATGGTCATTATCATGACTACGGGTGTGAAACATGTAATTTAGGTTAATATATGCAAGGTCAAGGTCACTAAAGATGATAAAATATAGAGATTTTGTCCAGAGCATATCTCTTACACATATGGCGGGATTTTAATGAAACTTCATAGACATGTTCACCACTATGAGAAGCAGTGTTATACGCATGAACCAGGTCTCTAGGTCAAGGTCACACTAAGAGGTTATTGAAAAATGCTTGTTCAGATAAAAATATGAAAATGTGTATTCGGACCATTTAGTCATCATTTATTGAGAGATTGAAACACAAACGGTCATTATCATGACTACCATTGTGAAGCTACCTATTGTGCACATATTCCAGGTCCCTGCTACCAAAGTCAAGGTCACATAGAGGTCAAAGTGTGTTTTAGGGACCTTTAAGTCATTATTTATTGATGGATTGTAACACAAATTATAACAATCATAACAATTGTGACACATGTAATTTAGGTTAATATTTGCGAGGTCAAGGTCACTAGAGATGATAAAATTTCCAGATATTGTCTGGATATTGCCCAGAGCATATCAACTATATGCATATCTACGATGCCCACATCTCTGACAAAAGCTATTGTGACAGGCATATTTGCAACAATGTTGCCCTTGTTTAAAGGAGTATACAGGTGAAGAATATTCTCTCAACAATTCGGAAAACCAATTTATTCCAAATTCAAGGTATATTGAGGAACACACAGTTTGGGTCTGATAAGAAATCATACGTATACTTGCTGCTATTTGGTGGCGTCAATGATGGGCTTTACATGGAAAGGACTTAAAACTCATACATTGAATTAAAATTCTACATTGTCCAACATAATGGCAAAATTGTTTTATCAGTCAATCATTTTTCAAGAAATAAAATTTTAAGTTTATGCCTTGTTCAAATCATAAAAGTCTTTTTATGCTTCCCGAAAAATTTCAGGGGAGAAAATAGTCGTCGGGTTGTCCGTCCGTCAGTCAGTACGTACGTACGTACGTCCCGAATTCGTGTCTGGCCCATAACTTCTTTATTTGAAGTTGGATTTTACAACTATTTCACAAAAATGATAACCATATTGAGATGACGTGTCGCGCGCAACAATTGGGTTGCTACCTTGAAGGCAAGGTCACAGCATGACCTTGCAGCAAAATCATGTCCGGCCCATAACTTCTTTATTTAAAGTTGGATTTTACAACTATTTCACAGAAATGATCACCATATTGAGATGATGTGTTGCGCGCAACATTTGGGTCGCTACATTTAAGGTCAAGGTTACTGCATGACCGTGCAGCAAAATTGTGTTCGGCCCATAACTTCTTTATTTGAAGTCGGATTTTACAACTATTTCACAGAAATTATCACCATATTGAAACGACGCGCAACATTTGGGTCGCTACCTTGAAGGTCAAGGTCACAGCATGACCTTTAAGCAAAATCGTGTCCAGCCCATAACTTTGTTATTTCAAGTCAGATTTTATAACAATTTCACTGAAATTATCACCATATTGAGACGACGTGTCACGCGAACATTTGGGATGTTTTTACACTTTGAACTTTGTCTGTGACATAACTCTGACACTACAAGAGGTATACCTTCCTGTGTCCAAAACCTATTCGGGGAGCATCACCCTGTTCCACCGGCTCTTGTTTAACTGGTCATAAGGAAAGAATGACTATTGTTTCTGAGTCACAAACTTTTGATAGTGTTATTCTGTCTGGTTCATCAAATTAGTTTTTATGACAATTTTATTAGAATGAAGTCTAACCTTATCACAAAATCAATTACCAATAAAATCTTGTAATTGATGGTACACTTGCTGAGAGGCATTAGATATAGGATTGTATTAATTCTGCCTCACTAAAAGTCATTGATGCTTTAAATATAGGAATGCATCAAACAGAGAATGTTTGTTTCTGTGTAAGATTAAAATAACCATTATTTTCCAGCTTGTAAACACTTTAATGTATGCCTCGGCTTCTAGTGAAAATGTGAAATCTGATGTTCTCCTATAAATGTCATTTTCTTTGTTGGCAAGGAAACTAAATAAATATTTTCTTTTCATCAGTTACTACCATTTAATACATACCTGAATCTGAAATGAAACAAAAAAATATATAGATTTAAACAGCATTCTAAATCTCTATCACATTTCAATGATGAAATTGTGACTATTGTTAATTCATAACACTTATTTCTATTTTCTATTATCATTTTATTTTGGATGAGAACTTTTCATATTTGATATATTGTTATACAACAATCTGATAGAAGAATGTAATCAAAACAGAATTACATTTTTTAACAATATCTGTATGAAAGGCGATTGTGAAGGAAATGAGTGATATTAAAGTTAAATATTTTGTTATATTTTCAGAGTGAGATTTCATTGTCATCATCTGCAGAATATCTAAAGTATCAGATCAGACAGGAGATTTCAGCCCTCAGAAACAAACTTAACATCAAGGAAAAAGCTCTGTCTGCTCTGGTAGGCTGTCATACTGATCTCTTTCTAACAATCTTGGTAACCCTTTGACCAACCAAATTTGCATAATGGCTCTGTGATGCTTTGAATTTAGAATAAACCATTCCTAGCTTATTTCATTGTACTATAAAGATATTAACTATCATTAATAAATATAGATCCTGGTTAGTCATATTAGTTCAAGAAATAGACTTGTTGATAACTTTTACCTCTGTTGAAGTTTTAAAGCTAGAATTACATATCGGTGCAACACCTATTGCAATTGCTTTTAATGCAGCCTTTGTGATAGAATTAATTCTTTAACCGAGTTGTCTTGAGAGTTGAGTTTATTTGTTTGAGATATTGAATTTATACAGAGTAATGTTTTAATGCTTTCTGGAATAATTCAGGGTGCATATTATAGTTGCTGCTTCATCCCTTTGTATTTCCATAGCACTTTTCTACACTTCCTCTAAGCAAATTCATTTATTGACAAATATCTTTCATATTTGGTTTGTAGAGATTGGGCTTATCAGTGCCAGATTTAAGTTTTTTAAGCGCTTTTGAAACGAAATGAATGAAACTGCCTGCCAGAATAGAACTAAAATTCTTATCAATAGACAGCAATCTACATCAACACACAATAAAACATTGTTTCTTTCAATCATTTGATTGCAAGTCAATAACTTCATTCTATTTTTTCAGAGACTAGAAAAATCCAAGGTCCATCCAAGTTGTAAGAAAAGGACAACAAACTCTCCACTTGTTGGTAAGCAAGTTTTCTTTTGCTATTCTCCCTTTACATTTCATTTCCATCCATTTTATTGCAATATTAATCAGAAATGCTATGTCCATAATGAAGGTTTTCGTAAGATATTACCTTCAGACTTCTGTTTTATTGACATTGCATTATTAAGTGAAAAACCTAAGATATACACAACATACAACAGTTAGAATAATGTTGTACTGAATGTTTGAACTGTTGTGACTTGCAACAACAAAAACAAAAAAGTTTCAATCAGCTTTCAAAATTTAGTGTAATGGAAAATTTAAAAGAGCTGGATTATAATATTTTTTTTGTCTTATATTATATACAAAGTATAGTTGAAGAATAATGTTACTATAATTACCAAACTAAAATGTACCAATAGGCAATACTACTGATGTTTTGTTTTGATTTTTCCAGAGGCATTAAACATAGATGTAGTGAAAAGTATAAAAAGGCAGGGTATAAGTAAAGGAGATAAATGTTCGTGTGAGTGTGATAATAAAGTTCACACCTGTAATAGATCTGTACCTTTGATGCGTAAACATAGCAGTGAGGATAACTCTGATGGACAACAGTTTAGTCATGGTGATAGTCTGTTAGATGACCAAGAAAACTTGACAAGTGAAAATTCAGATGCCAATGTAGATATCATAGATAATTCTGAAGAACTTGATAATATGCATAGGAAGGATATACCAGTCAGATTCAGGTCTGACAACTCTACAGGGTCAGAGTGTATGCTTTCAAATAATTCTGATACAGAGGGAGGGGTTATAAACAACAACCATCCTAAATGTCAGATATCAAAGACTGGATCAGGTGAAAAAATTCAATCAAATGGAAATGGAGAATGGCAATTTATCAAAGACCGAGATTGGGGTGAAAGTGAAAAAGGAATTGAATTTAAAAGACCTGGTACAGAAAATGCTGTTGTTCACAAGGACAAAGGTCATGCTATGTTACGGAGGCAAAGTTACAGGAAAGCCATTGAAAATCCTGCTAGTTCAACAGATGAGATGCCTACAGGTAGAGTTAGAAGTGACAGTTTCAGTAATGCTATAGAAGAAGGTCAGATAAGTCCCACCAGTTTCTCAACAACCCCTGTGTTCTCTGTGAGTGATACTACACCAGAGTATGAGGGATTTGAATCGTTCTCTATGACCTCTGCTCCAAGATACTTTAGCACTCCTTTGTCGATTGATACTGTAAAACCTGTTCCTATTGATCGAAAGACAGTTTGTGTGAATGATAATGGAACCAGTTGTAAGGATGATGAAAGTAAACCAAAGATTCCAACACTTCAGGCTCAGTTGTTCAAAGCTGGAGGAGTGAATTCAAATAAGTAAGTTAACTTCTGTTTTCTTTTGATACCACAAAATCATCAACTTAAGAAAGATGTAGTTTCTTTGTTATTAGTCCCCTACCGGTTTAACCGGAGGGGACTTTAGGTTTACCCTCCGTCCGTCCGTCCACAAAACTGATCCCGCGATAACGCAAAAAGTACTGAAAATATTTTTATGAAACTTGATATATATGGATACTAGTAGATGGCAGTATGGAGATTATGCACGTCTTTTTTTTTCTTCCTATGTTGAAAATTCTGGTTGCTATGGCAACAAATAGTCTGAAAATATGGCAAATTTAACACATAAACTGGATCCAGTGATAACTTAAAAAGAACTGAAAATATTTTTATGAAACTTATAATATGGGTAGATGGCAGTCTGGAGATTATGCACATCTTTCTCTTATCTTCCTATGTTGAAAATTCTGGTTGCTATGGCAACAATAGCCTGAATTTCAAGATTTCTGATTTAAATTTTTCAGCTTTTTCACTATAAGTTCTTTATTTCTTAAGGTGTTTACTTCAAACTTTAAATATAAGTTTCTGGTCATCAACCACATCATATGTGACAAGGTTTACAACTCTAGCACAAAGATTATCAGTATTACCTCTCTTGAACTTAGAATTTTTATGAAAAAAAATGTTGTCTTTTTTAAATAACTTCTTTATTTCCTAATGTATCTACTTCAAACTTCATATATATGTTTCTTATTATCACTCAACATTTTTGAGAAGGTTAAATACTCTAGCAAGACTATTTCCAGAATTATGTCCCCCTTGAACTTAGATTTTTTTCGAGAAATTGGTATTTTTCACTCCAACTTCTTCATTCCTTATAGGATTTACTTTAAAATCCCACATTGTTATAATATGACAAGGTTGTATAAACATAATTTCCTTACTAGGCAGGGAAACTGAACACATTACTGTGATATAGACAAACTTAGAACTCAAAAGATATAAGTTCATTCATGTCATTCATTCACTGGTAAAATTGAATGGCAAAAGGCCCATCAGAATGTTGCTGGGGTTCCAACCGTTGGGGACTTATGGATTGCTTGCAATACTATGATAATTGCTTGTTGAATTTGAAATCCATAGTGCATAGTTTAATCTGAATTCTTTTGCTTAAAAGCTAGCTAAATTGATAGCTGGTACTTATTGGCAAAGTGGGTCACAGGACATCTCACATCAGATATGCTAACAGACAAATTTATTTATTGATGAGATCAAAGTTGTTAGAAGTTATTTAAGTGAGAAGTGATGTTATCACTCTTCAGTAGGAACATCAACTTATTGTGTTTTCCTTTATGATATTATTTTCTTTTAAATATACTCTTCTTAATATAAGTATTGAGAGAATGAGGAAAGTGTTTAGAGTAGATGTTATAATGTTACTGAGGAAATTTTATAGTTTAGGAGATTATTTGAAAAGATAAAACAGTTTTGTAAATATGTGAATGTTTCATAATTTATTATATTGAAGTTTGATTGCAAAACTCTGCTGTAACATGTTATGTATTTCATGAATTTCCAACTACAGTCAACACTGCTTTAAAGACCTCCCAAATACAATATATATGAAATATATTATATTAGTTTTCCTTTTTTATTTGTGATCTATTATTGTGCAAATTGTCTTTAATGAGTGGTGGCCTATCACAAAGACCATTGTATCTTGATGGTTAGATTTCAGTGCATATATTACAGTTTATTTCATTGCACTTCTGTTTCCTTTTATGAGAGGCAACCTCTCACTAAATGCTCCTTTCTCCATTTCATCCACTGGCCTTTTAGGACAGATTTTGAATGTATGTATTACAGACTATCTCATTGCAGTTCCAACCACTTATCAATCCTCCTGGAGGAGGAAGCTCATGGAGATCAGAGCTCCCTGTGTTCACATTCGTCGCCATCTGGTCTCACAAGTCCGTCCGAGTCAGGAAATTCCAAAATGGACAATTCAGGACAGGAAAAAAGTCAGCTTTCAGAGTATGATTTCTCTGCTGAGATCTGGACATTGAGCAGAAGTTCAGAAAACTCCACAAACACACCATCATCTTGTGACTCCGGTCATTCAAGTTCTATCACAAGTTTTGAGAAAGCAAATAGGTCACCATCAGAGGATAATAAAATGTACCATTCTAATGAAAATAGGTAAGTACACTTAAGTTTGGTTATATCATATAACAATATTGAGCTTGTTTTTATATAAATAAAATGAAAATTTTGCTACATTACATGGTCTGCTACATGATCCAATACAACTACCTGCTGGTAAAGTACAGAAATTCTGTTACATACTGATGCTATACAACATAGGTATGATATTATGCTAAGCTTTATTAGCTCACCAGAGCCGAAGGCTCAGGGTGAGCTATTAGTATCAAAGGGGGATGCTCCGGCGTCCATCGTCCGTCGTCATGCGTCAACAATCGTCTCCTTCTCTGAAACTACTAAGCAGATTTACTTCAAATTTGGTCTGTAGCATCCTTGTGACAGTCACACTTGAATTTGCTCATGTCATTCTAATTGGCCCCTTTTAGGGGTCAGCAGAGCTAAAAATAGAAAAAAACCTTTAAACATCTTCTTCTACAGAACTAATGGATGGATGATCACCAAACTTTGTCTGTAGCATTCTTGGGTAGTCTTTTATCAAGTTTGCTCATATTTATTTGATTGGCCCCTTTAAGGGGCCTATAAAGCTAAAAATAGAAATACTGTTAAATGTCTATATCTAGAGAAGTAATTGGTTGATGATCACTAAACTTTGTTTGTAGCATTCTTGGGTAGTCTTTTATCAAAGTTGCTCATATTAATTTAATTGACCCCTTTTATGGGTCTCTAGGGCTAAAAATAGAAAAACCTTTAGACATCTTCTTCTACGGAACTAATGGATGGATGATCACCAAACTTTGTCTCTATCATTCTTACATAGTTTTTTTTTTTTATCAAATTTGCTCTTATTAATTTGATTGTCCCCTTTTAGGGGCCGCTGAAGCTAAAAACAGAAATACCTTTAAATATCATTATCTAGAGAACAAATTGATGGATGATCACCATGCTTTGTAGCATTCTTGGGTAGTCTTTTATCAATTTTGCTAATATTATTTTGATTGGCCCCTTTTAGGGGCCACAAAAGCTAAAAATAGACATACCTTTAAATGTCTATTTCTACAGAACTAATTGATGGATGATCACCAAACTTTGTCTGTAGCATTCTTGGGTAGTCTTTTATCAGGTTTGCTCATATTAGTTTGATTAGCCCCTTTTAGGGGTCTCTATAGCTAAAAATAGAAAAACCTTTAGATATCTTCACCTACAGAACTAATTGATGGATGATCATCAAACTTTGTCTGTAGCATTCTTGGGTAGTCTTTTATCAAGTTTGCTCATATTTATTTGGTTAGCCCCTTTTAGGGACCGCTTAAATTAAAAATAGAAATATGTTTATACATCTTCACCTACAGAACTAATTAATGGATGATCACCAAACTTTGTAGTATTTTTGGGTAATCTTTTATCAAGTTTGTTCACATTAATTTGATTGGCTCCTTTTTAGGGGCTGCTAAAGCTATAAATAGAAAAACCTTTAAACATCTTCTACTTCAGAACCAATTGATGGATGATCACCAAACTTTGTCTGTAGCATTCTTGGGTACTCTTTTATCAAGTTTGCTTATATTAATTTGATTAGCCCCTTTTAGGGGCCACTAAAGCTAATAATAGAAAAAACCTTTGAACATTTCCTACTGAAATAATTGATAGATGATCACCAAACTTTGTAGCATTCTTAGGTAGTCTTTTATCAAGTTTGCTCATATTAATTTGATTAGCCCCGTTTAAGCTAAAGCTTTAATGCCCCAGATCATGGCATTTCTTCAAATTATTGTTTAAACATATTCTATGCTCAAATTTAGTATTAGAATACAAAAATGTATATTGACATTCCAACACTGAAAAGCAGTTGTTTCTGGTGAACGACTCAGGGCCATGATGGCCCTCTTGATCATGGACTCAGGGCCATGATGGCCCTCTTGATCATGGCCCTCTTGTTATCTGAGAAGGAGTGGCTGTTGAAAATTTAAATTTTAAGTTATCAAATGCAAGAACTTCTAAATCTTTATTTAGTCCTTTCAAACTGTTTTTCTCAGATATGTTTCATGCAGTTTGTATATTGTAATAGAATTTTGATGCATATTTGAATGTTGATATATACATGTATTTTCAATTTGTCTTTTCTCTGCCAGACAATAAATGTATACTTGTACAATCTTGATCTCTAAGTTCATTTTAGCTCTGTTTATAACATGTATAGAGACCTACTAATCAAATCATAATCAAATAGTATTTACTACTGAATGAAACTTTCTTATGCTTTTTCGGGGTTTTGGAGGAACTTTAATTTGATTTATATTTTATTTTTTCTTATACATTTTTGTTTTCAGTTCTAAAACACCGCCACCATCAGGATCTCCAGTTTTTCACTCTACCTCAGTCTCCACTCATGAATCTCCAATCTCTTTTCTTGATTATACCTCCTCATATAATGCATCTGTATCTCCGCATGAAGTTCTTGACATAAAGAAAGATAGGGAGGAAAATAATGGGAAAGCTTCAGATATTAATTGCAACAGTGTTAAACCATTTCATGCTACTGTTACAACAAATTCTACTACTGTCCCTGCATCAGATTGTAAACTTGATAATGGTAAAGCTTTATCCAGTGATAAACCTGTTGATATTATTGACAATGTTACTGATAAATGTAAAGTAGCTGTAGATTTAAATAAAGAAGGGTCTAAGAACTATGTGAGTGCGGGTTTTGAACCGAATTCTCAAGCTTGTACTCCCAGTGAAAAAAGTGATAAAAAAGTCGAGAAGGATACTGTAAATGTAAACAAAAGTAGTGAAGTTAGATTTGTTCTAAGTCCTAAAAGACCACAAACTTCTAATTCATATGAAAGTGAACGGAATTTAGCCCCAAGTGAAAGGATATTACAAAGGTCAGCCGCAAACAAATTGGCAAATTCTCCAGAAAATAAACAAAATATAACAAACCATGTGCATTTACAAAACAGGAGTACAACAGCAGATCCTGCCAGTGTAGAATCAAAGGAGGTTAACATAGATGATACAGAGTCTAAGAATAAGATGGGCCTGACAGTGACTGTGACTTCACCTGTAAAAGAGGATCAGGATTGTTCAGATACCAGTCAGCCACCCTCTCCTGCTATCTGTTTCTTCAAGGTAGGTAACTCTGGTAAACTTGTATTGCTTTGTTGATTCAGAGTTGTCTTTACTTTTGAATAAACTTGATTTTTCCCTGAAAAAGCAGAATGTTACTATAATATTAAAACATAGTTTATGTTTATATATTGTCAGTATCTTTGTTCTGTTTACATAACTGAAATATTGATGTTTTTCATCTATTGCCTCGGTGTCCTCAATATTATATATTGCAATTTGCAATAAATAAGTGAAGGGAAAATAGTTTAGAAGGGGGAAAGGAGAACAACACTACCCAAAACAGATTTTGTTATAAAGGAAAAGTTTGATAAATCAAACCTGTCATAATATATCTATTAAATGTCAACAAAACTAATGTTGCCCTTTTATCACATTGTATTTTTTGCCCAAAATAAATTCCCACTGAAAATCGACAAATTCTATATTTTGAAAGTTAAATGTGATTAATATAGAAAATAATATTATGTAATGGTTATATTACATTTAAAGTGACATTATGCTCATATTTTCATAGTCAAGTTGGGCTGAACTGACTATATATTTCAAAAGATTGACTGTTAAAATGGTGATTGACCAATAGTTCATATTGAAAAAATGTTTAGGATCAAATTCAAATCAGCCTAAAATATAAAAAGACTGACCCACTCTTTTTATGAACTAAATAATTCTAAGGGTTTATTTAAGAAAAAATTTGTTTGCCGTCTGTTGTTTATTGTTCATGTGAAATAAATTTTTATGTAAAAAGAAATTATGGCAAAATAAAAACTTATTTTGACTTTCACCTATTCACTCATTTATACCCTTGGATAGGCATAATGTCACTTTAAAATAATCAAGTTCATTCATATATCAAATGACATTTAATAAATAATTTGAAATCCAATATCCAGCAGGAAGAAACTGTAATAAGTAATAAATTCAGTCAAAGCTCTATAGTGGACAAAATAATAAAATCTATTTTTCAGTCTTATAATATTTCATGTTTCTGAATTTGATGGAAAGACGAGGGGGGAAAATAAAACTTTATTTTAAGCACCTTAATAGTGGTTTACTGTATCAAATCATGAGAAGAATCTGAGCTTGAATTATTAGCTCAACTATTCGATAAATATAAGTAGAGCTATTGTAGTCACCCGAGCGTCCGCGTAACCACTTATGTTAAAGTTTTTGTAATACCTCAAATATTTTCAAAGTCCATTGACATATGGCTTTGAAACTTTGCACACTTGTTCACCATTATGACCCTAACCTGTAAACAGGAGGAGGTGACTGTATCAAGCTTTTTGACAGAATTATGCCCCTTTTTTGACTTAGTATTTGCGTTAAAGTTTTTGTAATACCTCAAATATTTTCAAAGTCCATTGACATATGGCTTTGAAACTTTGCACGCTTGTTAACCATTATGACCCCAATCTGTAGACAGGAGGAGGTAACTGTATCAGGCATTTTGACAGAATTATGCCCCTTTTTTCTGTCCGTCCGTCCGTTAGCAATTTGGTTTCCGGAGCATAACTTAAGTTCCATTTGGCCCACAATATTCAAACTTCATAGGATGATTGTCCATATTGGGTAGAAGACCCCTATTGATTTTAGGGTCATAAGGTTCAAGGTCACTATGACGTTAAAACTGAAAACAGTTTCCGGAGCATAACTTAAGTTCCATTTGGCCTACAGTGTTCAAACTTCATAGGATGATTGTCCATATTGGGTAGAAGACCCCTATTATTTTGGGGTCACAAGGTCAAAGGTCAAGGTCACTATTACTTTAAAACTGAAAACAGTTTCCGGAGCATAACTTAAGTTCCATTTGGCCCACAGTGTTCAAACTTCATAGGATGATTGTCCATATTGGGTAGAAGACCCCTATTGATTTTGGGGTCACAAGGTCAAAGGTCAAGGTCACTATTACCTTAGAAGTGAAAACAGTTTCTTGAGCATAACTTAAGTTCCATTTGGCCCACAGTGTTCAAACTTCATAGGATGATTGTTCATATTGGGAAGAAGACCCCTATTGATTTTGGGGTCGCAAGGTCAAAGGTCAAGGTCACTATTACCTTAAAACTAAAAACAGTTTCCGGAGCATGACTTAAGTTCTATTTGGCCCACAGTGTTCAAACTTCATAGGATGATTGTCAATATTGGGTAGAAGAACCCTATTGATTTTGGGATCACAAGTTAAAGGTCAAGGTCACTATTACTAAGAAATTGAAAACAGTTTCTTGAGCATAACTTAAGTTCCATTTAGCCCACAATATTCAAACTTCATAGGATGATTGCCCATATTGGGTAGAAGACCCCTATTGATTTTGGGGTCACAAGGTCAAGGTCACTATTACTTAGAATTGAAAACAGTTTCTGGGGCATAACTTAAGTTCCATTTGGACCAAAATATTGAAACTTCAAGGGAGGATTGTTATTTGAAGGAGGTAAAATTTTTTTTAATTCCCATGTCTAACAAATGCTTCGTCTTCTTTAAAAAAAAATCACTTTCGGGCATATAATGCTCCGCCTAGCGGTGCTCTTGTTCAACTTAGAATTTACATTTAGGTTTGCATACCACCTCAGATATTTTCATATTCTATTGAAACAAGTTGAAATTTTATACTCTTCTTTGAGAGCATAATAGGACTCTCTCCAAGGCCTATAACTGTAACATGGATTTAAAGAAAAATTTTGTTCTTTTGTTATTAACTCAGAAAATTTTACATTATCAAGGCTCTTTTACTGTCAAGCACTAAGAATAGTCGAGCATTGCTGTCCTACCGACAGCTCTTGTTTTGAGTACCTTTTGCTGGTTTACTGTATCAAAACATAAGTAGAATTTGAATTTTGAATAATATCAGTGATATGTAAGTAAAACACGCCCTTATGAAAAGTTTAATTTATTACATGAGAAGTACAGTCATTACTTTGTAAACTAAATGATAGACACCCTTTACACCCATAGATACATGTACCAGTCACTTTATTATTTTATTTTATAGACCTCTAACAGGTCATAGTCGGACATGATCTTGAGATTTGTTTAGATGATGTATGGTACAGAATAAGGTTTTAATAGCTATTTTTTGATAGATTCTTTTTCTGCTGTACAACATGTGCTTTCCTCTTTAACTTATTGACTGATTTGTTTATAGATATATCTAAGAGATGCAGAATTTTATTTGGTATTATCCTTTGATGTTTCTGCTCTAAACTAGTTTGTATTATTTCCCCAGAATATCTTTGTTGTAACAAAAAAGTAATACACTTGCATTAAAATTATACGGTAATAAATATAATAGCAGAATTCATTCGAAATTAATTAAGCATAAGTTGAACAATTGCACACTTGCAAAATTATGTAGCTCTTGGGAAATTTATGTTTTGTCAGTTGATATAATTTAGCCAGTTAAATATATCATTCTAATTAAAAAGAATTGTTTTAACTCTCTGAACACTGGTATGTGGTGGTTATAAATGACTTAACTTAGGTGCCACCAGTAGGGTCAGACAAATCAGTACATTTAATTAAATAGTATCATATTTATGCTTTTCATGCTCATCCATATAGTAATCTTTCCAGTGGCTATGGTAAACAATCCAAAGCACACACACAGTATGTTTTTAGCTGCTCAAGTTTCTGATTTTTGATAATTCAGATTAAAAATGAACAGCAGAGCAAGTCTTATTTTACAATTTCTGTTTTGCTGCATAGTGAGTCACTGTAGTGACTTAGAGAAAGAAACATATAGCATCAGTATCAGGCTGTGCTGATATATTCATTATCAGCATGATTGAGCCTACTGGTCATTTAGGGGATCTGGAGATAATCTCCTATCCTTAATATCACTAAATGCACTTTATAACCCCAACTTCTGAAGAAACTAAAGACTCTTTCTGAGACATGGTCAGCTTAGTTTTATGTTGTTTGTGTAAAAAAAGAACATGCTGAATACAGTCCAACCCTGTTTATTCGAAGTGCCTAGTTTGAATAATCGATGGGTTCGAATAATCGAAATCGGAATATTGTGAGAGACGAAAACTTATTATTTTACTCCACTTTGGCCAATCATAGCAAAACTGCCGTTTACAACACACTTGCTTCCCGCAATTAATTGAGAAAAATAAATATTAAAGACATATTTTTTTTGGCATTGAAGTTATAAATGCTTGCATTTTATTCTTCATTATGTATCGTTTCGTTTCATGCAAAGCCTTGATAATGGCCGTGTTGTCACTACCGTAATTACAACTAACTCTGGTATTTTCGATTAGGGTAAAGGCTCTCATGTAGCGTTATAATTAATGAAAAAAAATCTTTTGGATGTTTTGACAAATTCACATATACGGTATGTATGAAAATTTATGTCATCTTCAAACAATAACAGTAACAACATTGAACTTGGTGCATAGCTTTTCATTTTCGGTAATTAAAGTTGATTAAAGAACACACAAAGAGTTATTATCACGATTGGCTAAATACACGCACAACTGATGATAATTTTTCATAAGTCGACTGGTCAGAGAGTGGATCTTCGCTAATTAGTCTGGTTTCAAATAATAGGTGTGAAATTCTTTCATAATTATAGAATCGGAATAGAAATTTTACTTCGAAAAATAGGAGGTATTCAGATAATGCATTTCGAATAATACGCTCGTATTTATATTGATTTATGTAGAGATAAAAACAGGACCGCAAATCTACTTTGGATAATGCTGGGTATTCGAATAAAGGGTTTATTGATGTAAGTTTTACTCATGCTAAAGTCAATGGTTTTAGAGTTCATAGAGTTACTGTAGTTTTAAATTCATATTATGATATGATAGGGGGCTATTAAAAAAAAGCTCAATAGACAAGAAAAAACAACAAAGTTTGAGCACTTTTTGATATGAATCCTTCACATGTTTACGTTATATTGAACTTTATGTTAGATTGACATTAAATGTGCATAGCTTTGGTGTCTTCAAAGAAGAATTTTCACAGAAGGAAAAAAAGTGCAAACAATATACATGGGGGA